CTTGATGCTGGGACTCGCATTAAATGGCCTAGGATCCGCGTACTCCCTCCCTCTTTGATAGCATCATACATTTCATTCGCTTCTCTAGCATTTTCTCACTATATCTGAAAATCATTAATAAAGTTTCTTCAATTTTTTCTTTGTAAAAAATCGGTATTTAAATGATCAGAATAATGTGATATGATTACAACTTTAAGCTCTGCAAGAAACTGCTACAGTAAAAATGGTTCACGTTATCTGAATGATTAAAGTTACCCATAATACAATTCGCGGGTAATTTCAAAATTTGAATTTTGATGACGATCACGTGATACAAATCGAGATTGATTACCATGTGACTATGATCTAATTAACGACAATTGATTCTCAATATATATTAGTCAGTATATATTAATATACCCCTCGTTCCTAATTTTCAAAAATATCAATGTCAGAACATTATCCCGGCTATACGTGTAAGTTCTAATTGCACGGTGACTCTACTTACCTCCTTAATATTCTCTTTTCGATGCTTACTAACCGACCATCTCTTTAGCCATTTGTTCTTACATAAGAAATCGTAACGAGAAATGTTCCTTTCGCGAGTTCGTAGACCTTTACCAGGAAATGATTATAGAATCTCCACCAAATACTGATAACTGGAATGGTATAGAAGTTGCATGGAAAACGAGATTCTTAAGAAACATAAAGGATATTATTCCTGAAAAGTACGATGATATATATGCAAAGGTTCTGTATTCTTCTTTTTTTCTAATATAAATAAAAGGGAGCTCTTGGTCAATGATCGGTTGATTAAGGGTATTCAGTGATCGGCTGGCTCAAGTGATGGTGGTTGCGCTCTTGGTCAATGATCGGTTGACTTTGGAGTATCTAGTGATCGGCTAGGCGCCATCATTGCGTTTTCATGGGCTTCTCTATGATTGATATTCAAAAAATATTTTTACTAATTAATTATTTTCCATAACAGGTGAAATCAGAAACTTCGAATAAGTCTTTAATGTATTATTGGCAGAATATTGTCAACGAAAAAGAACAAGTAAGTCAAGATTATTGCAATTTTGTTTGCTCTATTACTGGTACATTTATGGATTTCATTCATTATATTTTGATAAACAGAAATCCGTAATCAATAATCATATATCTGGTAGTCTAAAAATATTGGACGCCACGGCTAAATATAATGCAAATACAATTGTTTCGAAAGTTTCGAATCCTCGAGAGATAGATACAGATGCTTCATTACCAAATGAACGTTTAGAGGTGTGCATTTTTTGCTAGAAGTTGTGTGAATCGACAAAATGTTGGCTGTCAGATATTAATTTTTTCTTTGTATTTAGTCCGATGAACATTTCATGCCCGTCCGTGAACCAAAGCGGAAAAAGCAGGTATCTATTTCGAAAAAGATTTGTTGCCTTGAAATCTATGCGACCTTGTTTTAATGACTACTTTGATATCTATAGAATAAAAAATCTAAGGAACAAGCTAATTCCAAGAGGGTCAGTATGGAATGCATTCCTGTAATGATAAAGATTTGTTCATAAAATTTATTTCTGTAGGACGAGGTCGATGTTTTTTTCCAAAGTTCACAAACAGAATGCAATGATGATGACAACTCCAACTCTCGAAAGATGCATGTGTATGATTACGAAAAATTTGAAAAATCTTTCGCTAAATTGGATGATTCCAACAAGTGGACACTCACAACCGGAACCGTTGTGGAAGACGCTCTTTATAAGTTCGGCCTACGTTGTAAATACGAACAGTAAGTTTATATGTAAATAATTTGCTTACACTCTTCAGGATATATGAATTTCACTCACACTTTATCCCTATATAAAAAGTCTTGCTCATTCGTTTGTCTTGGACCCTGACGACGATACTTACCTGAAAGAAAATGTTTTCACCGAAAGCGAATTACGTGAAATTCGCCATTTTCAAGTCAAGGAAACGCCATTGATGCCTCTTGACTTGATTAAATATCTAAATAGCTTCAACCTTGTAAGTTTCATTTCTTTATTATATATCATATAACTTGTTTTTTTTTCTACTAACAACTGGTATGTTGTTTCAATAGAAAACCACTTCAGAAATTCGGAAACAAATATTTAGTCCTGATAAAATAGATCAAGACTTCAATAGGTCAAGGGATTTTGATAGAGACTGGATTCGAAATACAATATATAATTTGTATGTAATAACTTCATTCATTTTAAGATTGGATACTAAGTTTGCACCCCAATTTCACAGATTGCAAGAATATGAGTCGAATACTTTAACGACGGATCACCTAGAACTTTGGATACTCGTTCATGTTTGGAGTTTCACCGATAAAGTTTTTAATGAACTTGAGGAAGTGAAAGTGGTCAGGTAAGAAACAAGAAACATCCGATTAGTTCTCAACTTTCCATGGCCTAAATAATTTTTGCAATAGAGGGGAGTCGTGTAGCCTGTCGTCATCAGCACGAAAAAATCGTGAAAGAACCGTGCCTGGAACAGCAGATATGAAATGAAAAGCGCTTGGAAGGAGAGGCGATATGATTATTCGTAAGATAACAGTTGAGTTTGGGTGTGCAGAAGCAGGTCGACAATTTGAGGGTGAGAATGGTACGAAGCTGTTGCGTGAAAGAGGCCTTAAAATGCCAAAAATGATGAAGGACATGTTCAGACACCTATGTGAAACTTTCAACCAAGATGATCATAAAACCCGCCAATTGGAAACGATTGGTTTCCTTCATGCTGGTATGTTCTTTTTACTTAACATTCATTAATCCCCCTTTTGTTGCTTACTTTGATCGCATTTTTCTAGGGCTCATGATGGTACTTCTGCGCCTGGACTCACCAGCCGGATATGTGTGTCGTGTGTCACGATCAAAATCTTTTTCTATCGCTACAAATATTAAAGAATTTGGAAAGACACTTCCTTTAATTTCTTTGACATGGAAGGCTAAAGTAAGTACTTGTTATTTTCAGTTCTGTCCTCCGTATCTGACAAACTTATTCTTGTAGAAAATTGTTGAAAATATGATCAGTTTAATTGAACAAACTAATGAAACCGATGAAGACCAATTACAACGTCTACAAGATGTCTACGATATTACACCACTTTCACCACGAAAACGAAAAAAAGTAGACTTACCAACATGCTTGGACACTCCAACAAAACCGTCAAAGAGAGTCAAAGAAATCCCGCATGGTATGGTCTATTATTTTATTCTACTTTGTATGAAAAAGGATATGTCTATATCTTTGTATTTTGCATTAGATCTGCTTGGACCACCACCACCATTTAACCTGCTACCAAGCATAGTATCTTGCCCAGATCCTCAGTGTGAGGGAGAAAATAAAGTTACTGCTAAATTTTGTTCGGATTGTGGAAAGCCATTAATGGAATGAATCACCTGTGAGCACTTATGCCGATTTTTCTTTAGGTATCGTATATGCTACATGTGGGTGATGTGTATGCAAAATGTGCACCAAAAGAATGTTTATAGCGTTTGCTTTATTGCACGATCAATGTGTACTAATAAATCAAAATTTTTTCTTGGCAGAAACCGTTACCATTGGTAACGATCAAAATCTTAGCAAAATTATTTCTATGGCTTGAGTTAAAACTTTTTCATTATCAACTATAACGGCCTTGTCTAAGGAAGACATTAAATACGTAATTGTTAAAGTGCTTCGGGGATAGTTTAATGTAAAAAATAGTGTTCTGAAAACATATATTAATAAAGTTTAGCCATTTATTTTTTTAATTAATACTAGCTACTGCATGATTAGGATATTTATATATAATTTTTTTGATCGATACTGACCCCCCATGATTAGTGGACACGCATGTCCAAAAATATTTGATCGATACTAACACCGCATAATTAGTGGACATGCATGTCCAAAATTCCTTTGTATTGCACCAGGATTACTGCACCTGTCTCATCTAATTATCTCGGAATATAATTAGCCGATCACCCGTGATTTGAGAAATCACTCAGTGCCATGAAAGTGCCAGGGAAGTGTCGTGGAACTATCGAGGAACTGGCAGGGAACTAGGGGAGATCTCATGTGATACAAATTTTTATGTTATACATCATGCAAAACTCCTTCGGCTAATCCCTGATAATCACGAGAGATCTACAAACCGATGTAAATATAAAATTAGCTTAGCCTAAGATATGACCCTATATAAATCGAATAAAAATGAATCTGATATTTTATTAT